TATCTATCTATCTATCTATCTATCTATCTATCTATCTATCTATCTATCTATACCCTTCTCACACTCTTGCAATGCTCTAAACTCTTAAACCTGCATCCACGGGGGGGGGGGGGGGCAGTCAGTTGGCTGGTGCGGACTGGAGGTGATCAATTAAGTCCAAGTCTGGATGAAAAAATCCCGATGGATGGGCTCTGAATGGAGCCCCAGACCTACAGCGGCGTGTCCCCGCATATTTCAGCAGGAGGAAATGGGGCTTCTGGGCAGGGCCCGGTTGGCTTATGGGAAATGTGGTAATTATGAGCAAGAATACAGTGTAGCATTACTGAGAGAAAACTACAAAATGGCAGCGCCTGTACCAAGTATTTTATTTTTTCGTTAACTTTTTACTGTACAGTACTGTCCCAATGACGTGTAATATTAAAGTTTACAATCATGTTTCCTATACAATAATAAAAAAATGTTAATGTGCATTGACAAACTGCTACATAGCGAGTCTGAGAAAGTCAAATCGCCAAGTAGCAAGGAACTACAGTATAAGCAAAGACAGCTGAGAACTAAAGAATGAGGGACTCAGTCCCTGTCCTCACTAACACACCTCTCATCCACTGGCAACAGACACTGTGTGCATATTTTGTTTTGTATGAATGAAGCTAAATCATATTGTTCTGCTCTGTTCTTATGCAACAGTCAAGTAGAAAAAGTATCACTACCAGCAATTATTACTAATGTGCCCAACTTGTAACACAGACATTGTAGCAGCTCATTAGGAGGAGCATTAATTAATTTCCCTTTCAAATGTTCAGAATGCTTTTTGTCATTATTGTTTAGAATGACTAATGCAGATTTGCTGTGGTTATATGGTTTACCTCTTGTGTTGTGCAAATACACAGAAAGCTTTAAATTCAATGGAACAGAGAATATAAAAAAATCTTTAGCACACATTTAAACATTTTTAAATATTTATCTATCAGTTGATAGATTTGTTCACCAAGAGATGTTACAGAAAGATACTATTTTGCCATATGGGAGTGACTGTGTCTGAGTGGTTAGAGCAGTCGTCCTCCAATGCAAGAGTTTGGGGTTTGATTCCACCAGCAGTCACATGCCCAAGTGTCCCTGGGCAAGACACTGAACCCCTCATTGCCTCCTGTGTGTGATCCATCGGTGTATGAATGTGATAAAGCATTGATCAATCTTTGTACAGATCTAGCAGAGTGCTGTATGAATGGGTAAATGAGGGCACAGATTATAATAAAAAGCGCTTTGAGTATCTTTATAAGATAGAAAGATACTATATAAGTACAGTCCATTTACCATTTACCACATTCTATTTGTGAGTTAGTAAGCTGAGTTCTGAAGCTCCTTTCACCAAATGGCTTTTTTGAAATACTATTTAATGTCACATTGAACTGTGACTTTCTCATTGAAACAGAAAGGGGATGTGTCTAAAAGTTAGATTTTTCCTGTACATCAGAACTGTTATGAACAGTATTGTGATTCTGTGAGCTAACACACAATCCTTCATCTGGGTGCAGCAATAAAAGATAACTGCGATGCTGCGTTTCACAGTTCATTTGAACTGAACATGTTTCTGTGGTCATGAGACTGAGAGAGATCAAGCTCTAAACCCCAGAACTAATGTGGAGCAGCTGTCAGATCTTCTGCACAACACAACATCAGTCTTTGACTCAGTTGACTAGTTCCACTCTTGACAAAACACACCTTTCAGAGCCACCTCAAACTACTGGACACAGCATGATTCAAAGTTGTTGGCTTTTTTTTCAAACGCTATAAGATTGTAATTTTATGCTCTTTGTAACTGTGCAGTAGGCTTAGGTGCTGGAGCATATTAATTACACTAATTGGGACATAAAATGTTCAACATCATCAGTGATTCATGCAATCATTTTAATTAGCAAAGACATTCATACAATTTAGCCCAAACCAGTATATGGAAAAATCAAAACACACATTTTGTTTTGTACCTGAATTAAACTTTTTGTTATGGCTGTTAAATAAAAAAAAAAAAAAGCATTTGCATTTTATAAATTTAATACACAACTAGAGTCGTTTTAGATGTATGAATACACAGTTTGCTGCCTAGTATGGTGCAGACTCACTGACAAGAGTGCTGTTGTGCTGAATCAATTAGAATAATTGGCTGGCGTTTGCGGTAGAAGCTGTAGAAGCATCAGTGTAACTGCTGGGTCTATTGACCTTGACTGACACTTACTTCACATACTTGACTGTACACACTGTCTACACGCTCTCTTTGTCTTTTCCTCTCATAGGACCTCCAGCATACAACAAACTGGCAATCATTGTATGCAATAATTTTGTAGGATTCATTAGTAGAAAAAATTATTTAGGACAATTAGAAAATGGGAGATAAAAATAACATAAAAATCAAAAAAGAAGCATGGCAATTTATTTTGCTTCAGCGCTCAAATACTTACTAGGGTAAATTTGGGAAGACTGCATAATGAAACATTTGTTTTTGTGTTTGTCATAGTGAGACTGTTCATGTTAAAGGTTTAGGAGATTGTATATATTTAAAATACATTTGGATTTGTAACTGGTCTGTTTTGTTTCTGTGTAATGTGACCGCTTAGATAAACAACATTTCAGTGATTTTGTTTGTGTTTTGTCTTACAGATAATGCTCCATTTTCTTGAGGAAGAACACTGGATTTAGAAGATTTTGTGGCTCTCTGCACAGACTGTGGTTTTAGTGATTTTAAGCTGGGCTCCTGTCAAGCAAAGCCATTTGTGCTTGGTTTACCTACGCTGCATACTCAGCAAATTACTGTTTTCACCTGATGATAAAACAATTTCTAAGGATCACCATCCATGGTTGCTGCCCTACTCAAGACTGTAACATTCTTTATTGAAAAGATTTGCAAAGGAATGTTTACAAAGAAACTGGCAAACCCAATAAAGAAGAAAGAAAGAAGTGAAAATAAAGAGCCCAAATCAACCACTGATTTGCAAGCACATAATTTAACTCTCTCAACCACTCTTAAGACTACTGTTAAAAAAATTTCCAAATGCTCCTCGGCACGTAACATATCGCTCGAAGAGGACGACAGAAAGAACGACTGTTCATCTTTGTCACCCACTTTTAGCTATCGTGTGGCCATAGCAAATGGACTCCCAAAAAACTCTATTTTTTTGAACAATAATGAAAGTATCTTCCCTGACGTTCTTTCAATTGATAGTAGCTACTCTGACTTCTTAAATGAGCCAAAACCTGTCCGAAGACTAGATGAACATAAATCACACACTATGCCGGTAAGACGAAATAGGAAGAGTCTCATCAGTTTAGCTCCTTCTGATGGCAGTTCTGAGGGTGAACGTGTGGAACGTTCCAGTTTGCATACACTTCGACTGGGTGCTCTACGAAAGTTGAGAAAATGGAAAAAGAGCCAGGAATGTGTCTCCTCAGACTCAGAAGTGAGCAACTGGAGGAAAACTCTGGGCATTCGCAGCAAATCTTTGGACCGCGCTGGACGGCAGCAAAAAAGCTCAACTCTCGAGCCTGGGTCCTCTTCAACAGGTTGTATCAGTCAGACCCAGGATGTAATGGAAATGATTTTCAAGGAGCTTCAGGGGATCAGCCAAATTGAGACAGAACTGTCTGAGCTTCGTGGCCATGTAAATGCCCTAAAGAGCTCCATTGATGAAATCTCCAGCAGTGTGGAAGTAGTTCAGAGTGAGATAGAACAGCTTCGCTCAGGGTTTGTCCAGTCTAGAAGGGAAACACGAGATATTCATGACTACATAAAACAAATTAGCCACCAGGCTAATAATCTAACCTTAAGATTCCTCAATGTTCCTGAAGAAAGAACAGAGAAAACAGAACATTTAATATATAAACTACTGAAAGACAAAATGGGTTTTGTTGATGCCCATAAAACAATTAAAATTGAGCTAGCTCATAGATTAGGGCAACAAAGAGAATGTTCTAATGCAAAACCTCGTCCTATAATAGTTATTTTTAACACACCACAAGATAGAGATGTAGTCTTAAAAAAATGCTATAAGCTCAAAGGTACAGGGATCACAGTTTCTACTGATAGCTTACCAAGTGATGTGAAGGAGAGGAAAGACAAAACCATGACATCCTCACAAACCTATGAAAGTATGGATATAAAAGTCTCAGGAAAAGAAAAAGTAGTAGAGAGTGATGACTGGGACTCAATGGACAGTGATAAAGAACTTGATGAATTAAGTAGAAATAAATATGCAATGGTCATTTCAAAACCTGCTCACAAGGCCAAATCAGAAAAAAGACGATCCCATGATCATAATCGATCATCAGATGAAGCGAGCTATTCAGGCACAGTTCACTATGCTGATGATTCCTACTATGACCCTGACAAGCATGCAAAAACTTACTATTCTGATTTGACCTCTGGTTGGCTTTCTCAGAGTGACTATTCTACCCCCAAACTTAGTCGGTCTGAGTCTGATTGTTCAAAACTGTGCCAATCATACTCAGAAGACTTTTCAGAAAGTCAGTACTTTACACGCACAAACGGATGCTCCCTGCTGTCCTCTTCTGATCAGGAACTGTGGCAACGAAAACAAGAGGACATGGCCTCCTCCTGGTATGCTAGCCCTAGTCACCCACCTAGTCATGGTAATCAAAGCTATGAACATAATGAGGTTGAAACTACAGAAACTATTGACAGTGGGGTTAGCAATGGACTTGTTTGTATGTCTGGGGATAGAAGTCACTACAGTGGCTCCCAGCTATCTTTGCAAGGTGATCTATCACCGTGGAAAGACTGGCATCATCTGGAGCAGGGGGCAGATTCAGGCTTGGAAGCTTCTATAGAAGTTAGCACCCCTTTTGACCCATCAACCATTCCTGGTTTTCCAGAGAACATCACTAAATGTCAGGAGGTTGATTTGCAGTTTGAGGGAGATGAGGAATTTATGATGCTTGACAGAGAATCTACTTTACCACCTGTTACCACCCACATTATTCCTCCTATCACAGAACGAGAATCTGTCAAGACCTCCTCCCGGCAGTCTAAAGAGGGATGTAAGGTTATTTCAAAAGAAAGCACAAAGGTGTCATTGAAAGATGCTCCTAAAGCTACCAGTAAAGCAACACAAAAACAAAGTAAATTGACTCCTAAAGATGAATCTACAAAAGTAATGGCTAAAGAAAATCCAAAAGTATCTGCTAAGGTTTCATCTAAAGTGACATCTAAAACCACAGCTAAAGAATCACCTAAAGAAATATCAAAACCAGCTGTTAAAGAATGCTCTCAAGTCATCTCTAGAGACAGTCCCAAATTCACCCCCAAAGAAAACACAAAACCAATAGTTAAGGAAATGTCTAAAGTGGCACCAAAGTCAATTACTAGTGAAGCTGTCAAGGTCTCTTCTAAAGTGACTCCAAAAGAAAGTCCTATAATGACGCCTCGGGAAAGTCCCAAAGACTCACCAAAAGAGAGCCCTAAAATAACCCCAATTGAAACCCCTGTTTTGACCCCTGACTCAACTCCAAGAGAGTCTCCTAAAGACTCCCCTAAAGTCATAACTCAAGACACTCATAGAGTTGCAGCCAAAGAAGGGATAAAAGTTGCTACTAAAGATATTTCCAAAGAAGCTTCAAAACCTCTTCCAAAAGAGATCCCAAAAGAGATACCTACAGTTGTACCCAAGGAGCCAACTAAAGTATCCACTAAAGAGGTTTCAAAGATTCAATCTAAAGAAGCTACAAAAGTACCCCAAAAAGAGAGTTCCAATGTAACCCCCAAAGAGCCATCTAAAGAAGCTCCAGCAGATGTCTCCACAGTAGCATCTAAAACAGGCTCTAAAGATTTTGCCAAGACCACCCCAAAAACAGGTCCCAATGAAAAATTTCCTGAACTGGATGTTAATCATAGCTTTCATCAATCCCAGAGCAAGTCCACAAGTATGTACAGAAGCCAAAGTGAAATTCGAACAGAGAAGGTTGAGGAGGTTCCCAAGTCTTGGAGCAGTAGACTTAGCATTGATCTCAGTGAAAAGTCATTTGGTTTTGGCTTCGGATCCACTCTTCAAAGAGCTAAGTCAGCTTTGGAGGTTGTTTGGAAGTCTGGCTCACAGACTACTCCCGTTCCTCCCGAGGAACCAAGCAACTCCTCTTCCTCATTTATGGGACGTTTCCGTACCCTGTCCACTTCTACTGCAAATACCCCTAGCACTACAATGGAATCTAATGTCCACACAGAGACCATCTTCTATAAGGCTGAAGAGAACAAAACAGGATTAGAAGTGGGAGAACAATCAGAGGACAGTGAGACCCACTATGTTGAAGTAATGGAACAGGTTCTAGCTAACTTGGAAAACAGGACTAATGTGAATGAAACCAAGGAAGATGGTGAGCTTGGACCAGAGTCTAGGACTTCTCAGGACTATGATGTATCTGAAGACATTGTGGCTTCTCAAAACACTGAGCCATGTAAGGATCTTGACGCTTCTGAAGTTTTTGAAGCATCTGATAACTACGAGGCAACTAAAGAGACACAAGTTTTGGAGTATGATTGCAGTTTGGATGAGCAGTATGGTGAAGAGTACAGTGAGAATTATGAAAACCAGCTCATGGAGGACACTGCTGAATATGATGCAATGGTTGAGTATGTAGATGTTGAAGAAACAGATGAGACTGAGGAGAATGATGTGACAGAAGAAATGGAAGAGGGCATAGAGGAGCTGGAGGAGGTAGAGGAGATAGCAGAGGAGGCTGCTGAAGTAACAGAAAAAGTGGAACAACAAGAGGGAGAGGAAAACATAAATGTTCCAGAGGAAAAACCAGTAGAAGAACCACCCAAGAAGCGTGTTCGTCCCACATTCAAGGAGGCAGCACTAAGGGCTTACAGGAAACAAATGGCTGAACTGGAGCAACAAATCCTGGCAGGGGGTATGGCTTTTACTTTTTCTATTATTTGTCACAATCAGTTTGTTACAGACCTACAAAGGTCAATTAAGTAGTAGAAAACACATGTACCGTACATAACAATAAATATTATTTAAATGTACCTGCATTTTTACTATATAGCCAGTGTGTATGAAATCACAGACTCTAAATGGATTTATATCTCATTCTTGAAAGTGGTTTAATTTCATTTGATATAAAACTGTGGAGCTGGGTCTTTGTCTAAAACCTAAGTTCATGAATCTGCCTTTGCTTTCTATGAAAACCTTTTGACTTGTTGAGAAAATACTTAAAAATAATTGCTTTGTTGTGGAAAAACCCTTTATTTGTTGTTTGAGTAAGTAACCAGTGTCTGTAAAGGTTCTCTATTTCTGAAATGTGTTGTACCTGCTGCTACCGGTGATGGCAGTAGTTCCGAGGACATCCTGATGTTTAAAGCCTTGTTCAGAGCTGACACAAACATGCTTCCTGTGTTATCTGATCACACCTGGACAGCTCTAAATATGAGTGTTCACACTTGTTGAGTGACTGCTTGTGATCAAACCACAGATATCTGCTTTACATATAAATACACGTGACCTTAGAAGGACATCAACAACACACATACAAATATTTTTGTTCTGACATTACCATGTTTTAGATTTACTCGAGTCACAAAATTAGCGAAGTTATTTATAAATATTTTGCTGAATTCAGCAATTAGGTATTATATGAGAAGAAAGGAAGCATACAATTATACAATCAACTCCAACAACTAGGGTGATTTGATCCCCCAAAAATGTGATTTTTGATTGTGGGGTAGAAAAGATGTTTCCCAGGTACACATCAACAATGCTATGATGTCATCATAAATTTTAATTGTGTGAATGCTGATGAATCATTCACACTATTGTGATCCATTTTTTTTTTTCTGTATGTTTTTCGTTGCGTTTCTTGTCCCACAGTTTTCAAGCTATTTCAACAAATCATATTTCAAAAGGTTCAGCTCTTTCAGGACAATCCTACAATGATTTTTGGTATTGGTGCAACTTTAGCGTTTTGAAATATTTTGCCTTTTCTGCCACTTTTTGTTCTCATAGAAAATGCATTGAGTTCATTTGACTTCCTTCAAATCTTTAGATCTGTTTATAACCTTTTCCTGCTCCTTTCCCATTTTGTTCTGGTTCAGCTTCTTTCAGCTTCCTTGTGAAAATGTAAACATTTTTTTTCAGCTATTTTTAGCTAATTTCAGCTGATTTTTCAGCTGTTTTGGGCTCCTTTCAGATTCTTTCTGCTAAGTACAGTATGTTTGTGCTTCTTCTAACTTCTTTCTGCTAATTTCAGCTTGTTATGCTCTTTTCAGCTTATTTCACAAGTTTCGGATTTTTTTTTTTGCTATTTCAGCTACTATTTAGCAGTTTTTATGCTAGTTTGAGCGTTTTCAGCTAATTCTACAATTTTTTGCACTCACTTAAACTTTTTTCTGCCTAATCATACAAAAATGTACTGTCATCACTTCCTTCTGGTAATTTAAGCGTGCTTCTGCTATCTTAGCTACTATTCAGCTGTTTTTTTTTATTTCTGTTTTTATCAGACATTTTCCACATTTTTTGTGTTCATTTCTGCTTCTTTAAACCTAATGGAGTTTTATTGTGCTCTCCCCATTTCTTTCTGGTTATTTAAGTTTCTGCCTTTTCAGCTATTTTTTTTTTGCTAATTCGAGCTTTTTTAGCAAATTTACTAATTTTTGTGCTCATTTCTACTTATTTAAACCTCATTCAGCAAACATTTCTTTCTGCTTTCTTCTGCTAACTTAGGCTTATTACATTTCAGCTACATGTCAGCATGTTTTTAGCTCATTTCAGCTGTCTTTCAGCAAGTTTTTCAGCAAGAGGAATTCACACTGCATTTTTGCAGGAAATGCAATTTCTCTAGTATATTATAGTCGTGATATTACATTTATCAAGCTCTGCTTTGGCTGTTTGTGCACAACAACATTTAATGTAAGTTTATTGAAAAAAAACTAATAAACATTTTATGTTAAGTTTAACACTTTTTAAATTTATCAGAAAAAGCTTTACTAACAAACTTTTTTTTAAATTGGTATAAAGATAAACATTCTTTACAACTAAATAATACAAAAGCTTAACCAGGTCCACATAAGTCCACACTTGAAAGCTGCAACCTTGGAGAACACTTGAATGGACCAGAAAAGTTGACCAGTAGAACACAGTGCTACTTGTCTGTCTGTATTGGGATCATATTTAGGTTTGAGTTAAAATGTGTCCATAGATTGGCAGGCAGCTTTCTGAGTTGTGCGTTCCTTTTGCTAATCATCTTTACAGTGTTGCTTCACATCTTATTCCCCTCCATGGGAAATTGGAAATTTAAAATCTTTGTCAAACTTCACTATAAGCTTTCTGAGATTCACCTTTGCCGGACTTCAACCACTTGTAAACTGTTTCCCAGTCTTTGTTGTAGCTGTATTTCTGTTTCTTTGATATAGTTTCATTGTATTCCGCACAAGTTAAATCACTTTTCTTGCCCTGTTATTTATTTATTTATTTTTACTACCATAGTGACACACAGGATCAGGGACGATGCTGCACATTTTGATTGAGAGCCGATGCATCTCTGATGATGGCATCTCTGCCTCCTTTGCTGTAAAGGGGGCAAAACAAAAATTTGACAGGCTTCAACCTCCTTTTCGCTCTCTCTCTGCCGCCTTTTCTGTGAACGAAACGGAGAGAGGGAGAGAAAAGGAGTTTGAAAGCCTGCCGAAATTTTGTTGAACTTTTCATAATATGACCCAGTCAAATGTGGAACATTGTTGCAACTTGTGGGTCACCAGGACAGGAGTGAAAAATGCGAGACAGTCCCATTCAGTCTGGTCACCCTGCCAACAATACATGACATAGATGAGGTGTAATGTGATTACATTGATCAGACCTGATCCTGATCTATCTGATCTGGCTTAAAATATTATTTGAGAAAAAGGGTAATGAAAACTTGAGGCACCTATAAGTAGAGCTGTCATTTCTAACCCGGGCCCAAAGCCCAGCCCGGCCTGAATTCGGCCATAATAATGAGCTTAATGTGCGGGCCGGTCTCCGGCTTTGATGCGATTTTACAAATCATACAGCACAAAGAAAACTAGATAAGAATGCACAATATAAAATTGTGTTAATCTACTTGTTGCGGACAAGGCAGGTCCGACCGTCCAGTTGAAAGAGGTAAAAAAAATGTCCAGTTAAGCTCACATGGATCAGATGATCACCGGCCGTATGCATCGCTGCACCTGCTGTCATCTGCAGCGAAGGAAGTACCATCATCTACAAAAGCCAAAGCGAGCAGCATGTTCCATTAAAATAGCCTTGTTCTATATTTTTCCAAATAATTTTGCTCTAAAAACCTTTTTGTTCATCTGTATGTATGTATGTAGCCTATCTTTAGACTTGATTTTTTAGGCTATTCATTTTGTATGTTAATATCCATTTGATGAAACAAGAAATCTTATATCTTCCTTTCTTTGAAATACGTTGTTAAAATATCATGCCAAACTGATTTTGCTTACAAAAGCAGTAAAAGCTTAATAAAAAAAGTATTATTGTTATTTTTTTTCCCCGAGTTTGGGCCTGTAATTACAAGTCGATTTCAGATAGGACTCGGAAAAAATGATACGGGTTCGGGCTTGGCCGTGCCGGATTTTTTAGGCCCGAATGCAACTCTAACCTATAGTATGTTTTCACTGCTGTATACAGGGAAACAAATTAAATAGAAAACTAAACAAATACTGTCAACTGTATTTTAGTATTTGCATTTTGCACTAATGCTACAGCTACCTTGAATAAAAATCCTGCAGTTGTTGGGGTCAAGGCTTTCTACAAAGTAAGACTGATTCATCAACAGAACAATCTTCCACCTGGCATGAAGAGACACCAGAGATTTTCAACTTTTACTTAAATTCAAATATTTTAGCTTTCCAAATGTTACAAATGAACACCAGTGGTATGACAAAAATGTGGATTTTTATTTGTATTTTGTCTGTGCACAAATATGTGGTCCTGTTTTTTTTTTGTTGCACGAAATATTTTGAGTTTGAACCACAAACCTCTGTCCACTCTGTCAGACTAATAGGAGAGACATGACCCCTAAACTTAGTAAATAAATAAACTCACAGCTGAAACTAATCTTTTCACAACCAAAAGCTTTTGTTAGTTTTAAATACCACTTTAAAAACAGTAACACAGCATGTAATGTAAATTAAATGCATGTAAGCACCACTAGTCAATGCATACAAAGATCTAATTATAAAAGAAATTAGGCAATCGTGACATAATGAAGTCGTTTTACAACTTTTGCAGTAATTTTGTGTTTTGCGCTTGTTCATGTCAAAAAATATTTTGCACAGCAACCTAGAAAGTAATGGTAGTAAAGTCCACTGACTCACGTCCAAAGTTTGAGTATGATACAAAGCATGCAATTTTAAATAAACATTTGTGACCAAATGTTAATGATCAGTGACAGAATTCTTCAATAATTTGAATACGAAACAGTAAGATGCTGTAGATCACTTAACTTGACTAGTCTACGTTTTAAATGTAGTACGGTACATGATTGTGTTTGGTTTAAATCAGTCAGTTTTATTAGGAAAAAAATATATAATCAAAAGTTAGCACTGCTGGTTTTGTGCATGGTGTCAATCTGTGAGGTTTTTTTTATATTGAAAGATTTTTACCTCATTGCATTACTTTCAAGTCACTTTTTGAATTCACTTTTTATTATTCATCTGCAGTTAGCCCCAACAAATTATATTGTAAGGAATAATGAACTCATTTTGTGTAGTATTTATTTAGAAGCAGATAAGAGGATAGTCAAAATAAATTTGTGTACTTTTACTTTTAAATTGAGACCTTTATGTAGTTTGTGTGTACTCATGCTGTGATGGGTTCTGGATGATGAAATTAGACTCAAAGCAGTCTGCTCCTCAGATAAATACTCTTAAATTATTTTTATGTATATGAATGTTTCTGTACAGTGTCCTCAGATGACTTCTGTTGTGACTTGGCACTATATAAATAAAGTGAATTGAACTGAATTGGATGATGGGACCTGTGGCAGAGTCTCAACAATGCTGCCATTTTTACGCCTGCCTTCAATGGGCTACAGTAGTCTCAGTATTCAGATGCTAATTCCCACTCCCAAGGGCAATCTGTAACCAGGTCAGCCTTGCTAGGAATATTTATAGAGGTCTGCTGCTAGTAAAGTTTGCTGTTTGCTCCTCTGGGACCACGGAAGGTAGACCCTGCTTATAGTGCATCACTTCTCAAAGAAGGTAGATTCACAAATATGCAGATCCAGGGAATGAAGAGTCATTGTTTAAGTGATTTCATTAAATTCCAAATATTCACAGGAAATCAGCAAATCTCTGCTCTTCCCTTAATATACAATTCTAAATAACTCTGGATTTTAAATGAAACACTTTTAACGTTAGCCAACATCTGTGCTTAAAGGATTGCCTATTTATTACCGTTAACATCCTAATTGCATATTTCATTACCTATTAAATAATTTGTGCACATTATTAGAAATGCAACTTTTACTTAAATCTTATTAAAGAATATATATTTATAGAAGTTGTTACACTTTTTTTAGGTTTTCTTTTAAATTTTTTTTTTAAGTGTACTAAAATTTATGACTAACTTCTGCTTTGTTTTTGTTATTTTAAATTGTACTACTACTATAACTACTACAAATAACAACTAGAGAAATTGCATTTCCTATGAAAATGCAGTGTGGATGCTTATTTCTGAATAATTTGCTGAAAAAAAAAAATATATAGAGAGATTGTTCAAACCATTAATGTAAATTGTCTCTACAGATAAAACCACTTGGTTGATGATACTTTTGACTAAGTCGACTTATGTTCACAAGTCATTATCTTGCATGTGCACATAGTTTTGCACATACAAACATTTTGTGAATATCATAAATTGGCAACTCATCATGTAAAGGTCACTGTGAAAAGATTTTTGTGACAAGAAAACCTGGTACTTTGGAAGTGCAAGTGAGTTTGTGTATTAAAGGTTTGTTATGTCGAATGTATTCAGTACTCACCAAAACTGAAATGGCTACAGAGTTTTTCAGTAAAGAGACAGTTTCTACAACTTGGATTTGTTGGTGCACATTTTTCTTATCTCTCCAACCTTAGTACATGTAACCCTGAGCTTTAAAACAAGAGGTTCTTAAAGATTGTCATAGGCCCTGCTCCTCTTTTGTCAGAATATCCACTGTTTTTGAGGAACTGCTTGGGAATACCTTTACGCCCATGAGCACTGGCAGCTTTGGACTTTAGTTGTAGTGTAGCTGTGGTGTCACTGTGCTGACAGCTGAAAGTTACAGTGAAATTCAGAGTCGCATGAAAATCACATCTCTCTAGTTTTATGACTTTTGTGTCAATGTTCAGAATTTCTCTTTTTTCCATGTTTGTTATTTGAAGACTGGAGTGCATCTCTGTAAACTTGCACTGTTCTCCTAAAAGTACATTTTTCTGCCTCCTGGGTGCGTTGGGGCATTGGTCAGTCCTGGTAATACTATCAGCCAGGCGTAAGCTGTTCTGTTCCTCAGAGCTTTGATCTATGGACTGCGTGTTCATGTGTGTCAGAAATGAAACTGAATGGATTTACTGCTGCTGTGGCCACTTCAATAATACCTTGTTACACACACACACAAACATATACCCACATAAACACAGAGGGTTTTTGTAACTATCAGGTGCATTTTTGTTCCACAGATTTATGGCACCTGTGAAATGAGGTTTATATCAGCAGCCAGTAGCCTATCTTTGTGGTCCAGCTTTATCTAGTGCAGCTGAAGACTTGTTGGTGGAGTAATGCTGCTATCTTGGATTGCTGTGCTGAAAGCAGCTCAGCTGATCACTGTCCATAGTACTGTTTGCAGCTATGTTCCTCATTGGGCCAAGTCCATCTGCTTGCACTCACCTTTTAGGACAATGGGCAATATGTTTTCACATGTGTACAACCTTTTGATTAACATTTAGACATTAGTATGTGCAAACTATGAGAAATCAATGCTTCCTTGAAGACCATGAAAAGAAATGCCCAAGTGGTAAACACATACAACCCTAAACACACACTAGAGAAAATGTACTTCCTGTGAAAATTCAGTGTGAATGTTTATTTCTGAAGAATATGCTAAAAAAAATAGCTGAAATTAGCTAAAAACATATAGTATAACATGTTGAAATGTAGCTGACATGGAAGAACAAGCCTACGTTAGCAGAAGAAAGCAGAAAGAACACATATTTGCTGAATTAGGTTTAAATAAATGAGCACAACAATTAGGGGGAACTGAATTTAGCAACAAATAGCTAAAAAGACAGAAATAGGCTTAAACTACCAGAAGGAAGTGGAAGGAGCTGAAATGAGCTAAAACATGTGGAATTAGCTGAAAAGGCTAAATGTAGCACAAAAACAGTTATATAGTATATGAAATAGCAGAACAAACTGAAATTAGCAGAAACAAATTAACTTGGGGGCAGCATGGTGGCGCAACTGGTAGAGCTGCTGCCTCTCAGCGAGCAGGTCCCTGGTTCAAACCCCGGTCCAGGGACCTTTCTGGGTGGAGTTTGCATGTTCTCTCCGTGCATGCGTGGGTTTTATCCGGGTACTCCGGTTTCCTCCCACAGACCAAAAACATGCATGTTAGGCTGATTGGTAACTCTAAATTGTCTCTAGGTGTGAGTGAGAGAGTGAATGGTTGTTTGTCTCGTTTGTCTCTATGTGTCCCTGTGATGGACTTGCGACCCGTCCAGGGTGTACCCCGCCCCTCGCACAGTGATTGCTGGACATGGGCACCAGCGACCCCCGTGACCCAAAATGGAATAAGTGGGTAAAGATAATGGATGGATGGAAGTTAACTTGGCTGAAAGTAGCAGAAACTACCACAAAGATTTTGAATTTATCTGAAAACAGCTGAAATTAACAAAAAAATGCTAAACAAAATAACTGAAAAGGTAGAAATATACATAAGTTAGCAGAAGAAAGCAAAAGAACATGTTTGCTGAAGGAAATAGAAATGAGCCAAAAATGTGGAAATAATCTGAAAAAATGTAAAATAAAAAAATATAAAAAACTGCAGAAGAGTAGCTACAAAAGCAGAAAGAAACTTAAATTACCAGAAGGGAGTAGAGTGCACATTTTTGCTGAATTAGGCAGAAAAAGTTGAAATGAGTGCAAAAAAATGTGGAAAAATCTAAAATTAGCATAAAACAGCTAAATATTACCTGAAATAGCAAAAAAAAAAAAGCTGAAACTTAAGATAAAATTAGCAAAAATAAGTTAAAAGAAGCACACAAACGTTCTAGTTAGCAGAAAGATCCTGAAAGGAGCACAAAACAGCTAAAAAAAACCTAAAAGTAGCTAAAATAAACTAAAAAATGTTTACATTTGCACAAGGAAGCTGAAAGAAGCTGAAGCAGAAAATGTGAAAGGAGCAGTAAAAGGTTGTAAATACATCTAAAGATGTGAAGGATGTAAAATGAGCTCAATTCATTTTATATGAGGAAAAAAGTGACAGAAAAGGCTAAATGTTTCAAAAAGCTAAAGTTGCACCAATACCGAAAGTCTTAGCAAGATTATTCTAAAAGAGCTGAATGTTTTGATTTGTGATTTGTCGAAATAGCACAAAAATTGTGGAACGAGAAAGATGCTGAAAAATGTACGGAAGAAAAATGGATCACAATCGTGTGATTGCTTCTTAAACATTCACACAATAAGAGTATTTAGCCAGCAGTGTTGCTTTAAGTAAATTTCATTTCCAAAATGAATTGTTACACAACAAAATGAATTGTTTTACATTTAGAGAGCAAAGAACACGGACTTACTATTTAATATCAATGTATCAACAGTTCATTGAGTTGTCATATTTATAGTAACAAGTTGATATTTCTCTTGTGAACATCTGCTTCCTGTTGGTAACACATTAAAATCTGATTAATTTGTCACGTCACCAACTGATCAACATCACTTCAATCATACCTTCACTAACCTGCTCTTCTTCTTTAATCTTTAAAATGGCAGCCTGATATCCCTTTTGTTTATCTAAAATTCCACGTGTCCATAGCTTGATGTGTTATATCAGGTAATGTTATTAGTTAGAACCATATATATATATGTACATTTGAAATTACTTCTGCATTTTTTTAAGGAAAAACTTAAGTGTGAAAAGGATGATCTCAATCTTTTCACCCAGGAGCCGTTTATTTTGCAACAGTGTTCTCCTGGTTTTACAGTCCAGACTAATTGTCTATTCAGGGCTCATCTCCTCAAGGCACATGTTGACTCTGTCTTCGTTTCTGCATAAGATGTTTGTCAAAATAGAATTGTGTCATCAAACAATGAGAGCAGATCGGTGTGCTAAGTGTGTGCATTCTGTTTCAGTCAAATTCTGCCTAACTCTTTTCCCTTCTTGTCATTTTCTTTTTTCAGACGCCAGTGCTTTGGATACTCAGGTTTTAAGTTATTGTTTTTATCATCTAATTGGACATGTGATTTCTATGAATGTGCATGTACTTTTGTGCTTTGTGGGGTGACAGTGAGTTTGTATTAGTTAATATACAGTAGTGATGTTCACCTGTGAGTGTTTGCATTTTGTTTTCTTGTGAATAAATGATCGTGGTATGTATTTAACTGATGAATATATAATGTTATCATTATTTTCTGCTGGTTAGCACTTTTTTTCAACTTTTCTAATTTATTTTTAAACAGAATTTTGGTCAGCAAGGAGAGACAGTTACACAAAAAGAGCATGAAATCTTGCAAACCTCTCAGTCTTGAGACCTGAAGTACATCATTAGTGTTTTTGGAATAATTTGGATTTTTGCCTCTGTGCTTTTTCTCCCCTTTGCATGTGTTGCACTCCTTCTCTCCAGTCATTTATTAAATCTTACACTTATCTGTAGTTTTTCGAGTACAGTACATCAATGCAATGTAAATTTTCCTTTTTGTTCCACGTTTCCTGTTGTTTGCTTTGTGTGCGTTGTAGAGTGTCCTCTCTTTGTTTTTCAAGTCTTAAACTGTGTTTCCTTTCTTCAGCCTCGCAGTCTTTTGGATCCCAAACTGCTTGGTTTGCAATCTGGAGGGTGAGTGGTGGTTCACGGCATGAAATAACTGGTTCACAGTTACACAAATCAGAGCTCCTGTGCTGTTTTGTACTTTCATTCAGAGAAACTGTGAAGTTAAAGACAGGGGGATTCTCAAGCAGCTATAACTGAGTTATTACGCTGCTGAATGACAAACGGCAGAGAATAACTAGAAATTAAAAATCCCTTTAGCCTTCATAGAACTGTACTTTCTATATAAAAGAGACAGGGAGAAAGGGAGAGAGAGAAATGTATTTTTCAGTGCTAGTAGTATCACACTGGGCTGAGACTGTCGGTGACTTAAAATATAGACATATTTTCTGTTGGGAAAAAAAAGTCTATTTAATGTGCACAGCTTCCAAGACTGTGTCTCTACAACTCATACAAGGAGTTTCAAGATGTTTTGATTATTCCCTCGCTAATATAATTTACCAAGTAGTCTCAAATAGTCACAGTCCAGTGAGATCCTACCCTAAGCAACCTTCCTATACACTTGTTGTTTTTGAGGTTAGCCAAAGCCAAGGTCTGCGGATCAATGCAAAGGCTGGTTTAGCTTGTTGCGTTGATTATTTACAGAGAAGCTTGAACTATTTTTTTTTCCTCTTTCGAGGCATCGGTGCATGATGAGATCATCAATGAGGCTTTGCAGAAAAGCTCAGGTGATGCCAGCGAGACTGACTGGTAAAAAAAGAGGGGAGCAACAGAATGCACACAAGGATGTTAAAAGCTAGAAAGGATGATGTAAAAACAAAACTAGAACTGTGGAATTGTCGTCGATTGAGAAGCGAACACCTTAAACCGTTGAATTTACGAGACTGCAGTCAACACTTGCGGCTTACTTGCGTTCAAGTGGTACTGTGGGTGGTCTGCACCACACGATGTGACGAGGAAGGGGGTAAGACAGGTTCAGAAGGATGCATGAGCCATGGTGTTTGCCAGCTGTGTAAATCAAGGCCCCCCTTTCACTGTAGTAATGTCTCTCCCAGCACGGCATTATTATGATATTAATACACCTTAAATCTGTCTGCTTCTACAGGGCTGGCAGTATTCTTTATGGTATTGACAGCATGCCAGATTTACGCCGCAAAAGGACAGTGCCTCTTGTCCGAGACCTGGTGAGTCATCTTCCTCAACAAGGTTACGTGTGATTTATGTTAAATCTATCTATGTGACCCAACGTTATACCACAGTAGTGGAATCCTGCACTATGGGAGCACGGACATCTGCTGAATACAACGATTATATCTTTTCTGACAACTTGATAGAATGTTCTGCTTTATAATGACATAGTTAGCTAACAATATCTTGATATTAAAATATCCTTAAAGTTGAATGAATACTCTGCAAAATAATGTCTCTATTAAAGCATAGATAAATTGTTTATAAATGTTACTAATGTTTGTTGCAGTGAATTATATCAATGGGTAAAAATACTTAAAATTAAAACAAACCTATACGGCTATTCTATCCAGAGCTCCAGGATTGTTAAATATAACTATAGTTGTATAACATTGTTGTTTCATTAGTTGGTCTAAAAAACATTTAATATAATGCGTGTCACAGTGATGCTTCACCATTTGTTTTTATTGCAACATAATGTGTGATAAAATATCCCACAGAGAAGCCTGTTGCAGTGAGGCCCATTTTAGCACATTGCCACATGGTTAGTCTTTCCAACAGACAACAGACTATCGTACCAGTAATATTCATGTCTGCTTTATTCTGTGTTACCATGTTTGTCTGTCTTGTGTCTGTTTGTTTCTCACCTTCATGTATCTATTATTACCAGCACTCTCAGATCAAACCTCTTACGATTTGTTTTTTATATTCTCTTTTAGTTTGTTTTGTTGAATGTACGTAAAATGCCTTTTATGCAGATGCTAATGCAGCTTGATGTCACACATGGATGCTGATGAATGTTTATATCACAGTGAACAACATGAGTTGATGCTGTATTTGTTCATATCTCTCATTAAAATAATAACCAACAATGTCTTGGTAAGTATGGGTTGTCGTCTTGTATTTTATTGGATTTTTTAAGTGTATATTTTGCCATTCCTACATGGACCCATAAAAGCTATGGGTAATATTTTTCAGTGAGTTGTCAGATTTCAGCCTTGCCGATGCTCGCCTGTTGTCCTCATTCATTTTTTATTTATTTTTTCTTGCTCGGCAGATGATTGAAGAGTAGATAAAAAAATAAAAAAAAATCAAAATTGTTCCAAACTTGAAATGTTGACAACTCAACCCAAAAATATATCAGAGAGACTTCATTGACTTCTGATTTAACTGTGTGAGGCTTTTAAATCATGTAAAAGTGACACTGAGCAAAGCCTTTTACACGTGGGATGAAGTCAGCACTCCGCAAACAAATTGGTCCCCTGTCATGCCTCTTCCTTTTGTCAATGTCCCCCATTTGCTGTGTGATTGCTTGAGGGCAGCAACAGCGTTTGATTGGAACGGACAGTGGGGTTTCCCGCGTTATTACGGCGGGTGGGTCGCAAAAGTTTCGATAAAAACAAAAAAAGCAACAGAAAATAAGCTACGAAAAAGTTGATGATTGATTGAGAAAGCTCAGATAAATCTACAGATGCACGGTCTTATTGTATTGCCCGCAGCAACCTCAGCAGTGCTGGTGCATGTTGATAAACTTACATCAACACTCAGTTCATGTAGAGGTCACGATCCTTCCTACATTCTCCATGGCTGCCATGGATCTTTACCATAGCTGAGCTGTAGAAACAAGAGGGTCGTGGTAAAGACTGATCCAATATTGTCAGCTGTCCATGTCTGCATTCCTTCTGTTATATAGCTTCCCTCAGTATGGGATTTACCAATCTATGCTTACCCAAACACAGTGAATAGTAGCACAACAGCTAATATATATATATATATATACCTGTGTGTGTTTTCTGTGTGTGCTTGTGAGAATAACTTGTGTGGGTGTGTATAGGATACCGGTCCAGTAAGTTTTTGACTGTCTGCGCAGAGATGTGTGTGTAAGTGTGTTAGCGTGTGAGTCTTTTGTCGTTGTGCAGTACAGCTGGCTTCACCCATACATGAACGTGTGCGTCTTGTGTTTCTCTGTTTGTGTCAAACTAATGTGCAGAGCAGACAGCAGAAAATATGATCAAAGCTTCATCCAACAGAGAAATGACTCTAGAAATGCCAAGCATGACTGCAGTTTAGTTACCTCCACTGCATGAGTGGATAAACAATCAGGCAACAGCTGGATAATCTCTCTTGATGCATAGTTGAATTGTTCAGGAGCTCTACAGTATGTTCCAACCGGCAGTCCTGCATGGCAGTTGAGACACCTTTGCGCTCAGTTTGAACAATAAATAAAATATGTCTGCTGTTTGTGTTTCAACATCCACACCCTCCGTCCCTATCTAAACCAAATTATCTGTTTTGTCTTTCTTTCTTTGTACTTATGCTCAAAAATCACAGGCTTTGGTAAGCATACTTTTTTGTGCTTCTTGCATTTGATAAATTGAAGTGGTTAGACAAACTTTAGCCTCTATAAACAATTAGTATTGTCCAGTTTTATTGCAGAAGAGTTTGGTTTCTATCAGCGCAATTAATTAAACTACCAAAACCAACTGTTAAAGAAAATGGATTCACGCTATATTTTTTCCACTTTGCATTTTATTTATTTTTCATTTCAAATGTGTTGTCTAGTTGCATGCAAAACCATTATTGTGACTTTTACATTTTATCCTCTTGTTGTCTTCTTCTCTCAGACCCTCACTGCTCGAAAGGCAGGCATCTCGTTTGCTCTGGTGAACCGATCCACCCTGAATAACGAAGAACTGGTGAGTAAAAAAACAACCAAAAAAAAAACCAAACAGTGCCTACCTACCTAAAAAAAAAAAAACAAACTACTAGTAATACTACAAAAAGTCCATGCTCCAGTAATACTGGAGTGAACCATGGACAACCATAGGTCCTATTTAACATCACTAATCAAACCAGCATACAAATGCATTAAAAAAAGAATAATACATTACATAGAGTAATTACACATAGAGTTGAATATTTAAAAACAAAAAAATATTGTATTTTTGATGATTATGACTTACAAATAATGAAAAAAACAAAACTCATTGTCTCAGATAATTAGAATATTCCACAGCCAGCTTCTGGGACCTTTGTCAGTGTGAGCAGGAGCCATGTTCTGCTGGAAAATGAAATCATCTTCTCCATAAAGCTCGTCAGCACAAGGAAGCATGGAACGCTCTAAAATCCCCTGGTAGATGCTGCATTGACTGTGGACTTCAGGAAACTCAGTGGACCAACACCAACAGAGGACATGGATCCAAACCATCACTGACTGTGGAAACTTCTCACTGGACTTCATGCAATGTGGATTCTGGACCTCTCCACTCTTCCTCCAGCCTCTGGGACCCATCCGTCCACCCATCCATTATCTTTACCCGCTTATTCCATTTTGAGTCACGGGGGTCGCCGGTGCCCATGTCCAGCAATCACTGTGCGAGGGGCGGGGTACACCCTGGATGGGTCGCAAGTCCATCACAGGGCCACATAGAGACAAACAAGACAAACAACCATTCACTCTCTCACTCACACCTAGGGACAATTTAGAGTTACCAATCAGTCTAACATGCATGTTTTTGGTCTGTGGGAGGAAACTGGAGTACCCGGAGAAAACCCACGCATGCACGGAGAGAACATGCAAACTCCACCCAGAAAGGCCCCTGGACCAGGGTTTGAACCAAGGACCTGCTCCCTGAGAGGCAGCAGCTCTACCAGTTGTGCCACCATGCTGCTGCCTCTGGGACCTTGATTTCCAAATGACATGAAAAGTTACTTCATCTGAAAAGAGGACATTGGACCACTGAGCATCAGTCCAGTTATTTTCCTCCTCAGCAAGTAAGACACTTCTGATGTCTAATTCAGGAGTGGCTTAACTTGAAGAATGAGACATTTGTAGCTCATGTCTAGAGTTAATCAGCTGATTATGGTATGTCACCAAGAGTTTACAATATTGAACCTCTTCACAATATTCTATTTTTTTTGAGATATTGAAATTTTAATTTTTCATTATTTGTAAGCCATAATAAATGGGGGAGTGGTGGAGCAGATGCTAGAGAAGGTGGGCCTGTGATCGGAAGATCGCCGGTTCAAGCCCGGTACCGATAACATAAAAAATGTGGGTGGGGTAGGTGAAGCACACACACCTGCCCTGCCCCCACCCTCATTCGCCCCACTCTGGGCCCATGAGCAAGGTCCTTAACCTCCATCTGCTCCCTAAACAAGTCTTTCTTGAAAATGAGTTCTCGTGGCTCAATGAGACTACCTGACTACCCACTAGCCTATAAAGGCTAAATGAAAAAAAAAATAAATAAAATAATAATCGTCAAAATTACAAGAAATAAAAGCTTGAAATATTCCACTCTGTGTAATGAGTCTATATAATATGTTTCACTTTCTGAAATGATAAACAAAAATGTGTATTTTTTCACAATACTCTTAATTTTATGAGCTGCAGCTGTACATGCTCTTTAACAGTTAAAGGAAGCCAAAGCCTTCAATGGCTCTACCAGTACATGCAAACTTGATATACAGTACAAAGATGCTTGAACCCTTTTTGCTACAAGTGCCAACCTCTGCTCTATACCTTCTGGACACATGTTCTCATTATTTTTCAGGGCAGCATTTAGGGAGCTATAATATTGGCAAACCTTTATAGCTATGCTGTTTGTTGCAGCTTTTGTTCCTCAGGGTTTGCAATTACATCGCCAAGAACACAGAGCCGTAAAGTGATTTTTCTATTGCATTATTATGCCTTTTATAATATACATACATCATTCTTTCATTTGTCTGTTTTTCCTCCTTGGCCAAGATAAATGCCACAGCCTCTTAAACTGCTCTCTGTGACCACAAGTTCATTGTGGCTGTGCTCTTTCCATGAAACAATTTGGCAGAATTCAGAAATTAAGCAGCGACTCAGGCATATATTTAAAGAATGCTCTGCAATCAGTAATAATAACTGCTCATCGTGAGTGACTGAGCAATGGAGGAAAGGCAGAATGTCTCAGTTGATGGTGTGAGACACTTTTGTGTTGACCTCCAGAGCTATCGCTGCATTAATTGATTGCAATTCTTCCCTCCCTGAGGGAAGATGGCGTAACAGGAGGCAAACAGCAGGAGAGAGAGCGGTTTCTAAACAAGAGGAAGAAGAATACAGTTTCATATCCGCTGATGTACAGCATGCAGCTGCCTAAGCCTACGAGATTACTGGATTTAAATGAGCCCTGTGCACATTGTTCACAGATTTGATCTTTTCGAGAGATCTCAGTGTGACCTTTAATATGTGGGCACTGGTTTGTGAAGATGTTTAAGACACTTGTTCCCCATGGACAACTTTTCCAATTGAGAAATGATGACTGGCTCTTGATTGTGATAAAGTGAAATCTAGATGATTGTGAATGATGCAGAGTCTTAATTACAGAGAGCTGAATCTTGGTCAGGGGCAGCACAGTGGCTCAGATGGTAGAGCTGTTGCCTCTCAGCAAGAAGGTTGCCAGTTCGAACCCCAGCCGGGAACCTCTCTGGGTGGAGTTTGCAAGTTCTTTCCGTGCAGTTGTGGATTTTCTACGGGTACTCCGGTTTCCTCCCATAGACCAAAAGCATGTACAGTATGTGAGGCTGATTAGTAACTCTAAATTGTCTTTAGGTGGGTATGACTGTTTGTCTCGTTTGTCTCCATGTTCATTCATTCAACCTTTATTTATACAGGTTAGTCTCAATGAGCACTGAGGACTCATTTACAAGAGAGACCTGGTTTAAACAAACAACACAGATGAGGTACAAACAAAAATAGACAATCATAGGAAAATGATATAAAATGAAAAAGTAAATAGAAGAAATTAAATACAATGAAACAAAAACGCTACATTATAAAGTGGTGTAAAATATTAAACAGGAACACGTCTGTGTTAACTTTTGCAATGAACTTAGCAGTTGTTTAAAATCCTTTAGCGAGGTCCAGATCAAAAGCTTCAGCTCTTTTTGCAAGATGTTCCAGGAAACAGGAGCGGAGTAAGAGAAGGCCCTTTTGCCTAGTTCAGTCTGCATTGAGGGTACACTGCAAGTAATTTTGTCCTGAGAGTGCACGCTGTAGCTACACTCATGTGTCCCTGTGATGGACTTGTGACCTGTCCAGGACGTCTCCCGCCTCTCGCACAGCGATAGCTGGACATGGGCACTAGTGACCCCTGCGACCCAAAAAAGAAAGAAGCAGGTAAAGATAATGGATGGATGGATAAATCTTGATCAATTTCAATAATACAGCTCTATTGATAGACGATGACCTGATGTTTATGAATAGGTAAAAAAAATACTTTGATTTGAATGAATAAAAAATAAGTTGACTGGTTGAGTCAAATTGACTTCAGAGAAAAGCTGTATACTGTGCGCTCTCCGTAAGTAGGACAAGCAGATGTCAGAGTTTGATCTGCTGCATTAAGTCCAGCAGAGTGTATCCCAGTGAGAGCTGAGAGAATTTCCTGTAAACAACCAGATGCTGTTTAATTGTAGAAGAGTTAGGGAACGAGATGAGAAAAGATGACTGAATGAAAGGTAACAAACAGATGAGAGAAGACAAGTGTTGAAAATGGTTTGTCATCTCGATCTTGTGGACTTGATGCCACCGCTTAGGAAGCCATGTTGAACAGTCTGCTCTCCCAGGAGTCATTTTTGAATCTATTTAGAAAGCTTTCTTGCTCTTACAATTTAATCACTGTGTCACCATCTTCCTGTATTTTCTTGTTTAATATAAATTCTAAACTGGGATGGAATGCCTGTCGTTGCAGATGTATAGGCCAGTTTATCAATTTTGTTTTTCACCCTCATGTTTCCCTTATGTCAGCTTTTTTCAAGCGCAGAGGAATAATATGTGTGGGCCCGACCACTGCCCTTATGTCCTCTTGATGTTCTGAGCTGCATGTGATGTGAGCACCGCAGCCTTTTAACAATGACTGTTAACATAAAGGGAGGCCATGTTTACCTGCTGAGACAAGGCACTGACTTCCACCAAGTTGGAAGAAGGCTGCGATCTGACAGGAGCCAACAAGATTCTGGAAATAAGATGTGATGTGCTGCTGTAAGTCTGTTCAGATATCATCAGCAATCTTGTTAGCAGCAAAACATAAGATGTTGATTCTAAAATGCTTGTGCTAATAATTCAGCTGGATAAAGATGGTCATGGGAATCAGGCAGGACAGAAACATTTATTTTTGTTTGAGTTTAGGTACTTTGTATATTTGAACAATAACTAATTAAAACATTACATCATTATATCTTAAGTTAGGAATGACATTGTGAAATGATTAAAGCCAAAGATGGAAGGTTGGACCAGACTGAGGATAGCGCTGTCAAGGAAATAATTGACAAGGACAGTAGGTGGTAAAATTGAAAAGGAGGGGTGAAAGAAGAAGGCAAGATCATGTTCTTCTCTGTCATGTTGCTCTCGGGCACAGGCTGCAGCTGTCACTCAGCTCTAGTAGTGTTTTGCACAAAATCACCAGGGTTACCTCGCAGTATAACACATGGGACTGACGCATGCAACACTTTCCTCAGATCTGTGGCACAGCACAGACACAGAGACTGAAAGACATGGGAAAAAATGAAAGAAACAGACTGATGGTAAAACACTTCTCGTGCAAGGACTTGCCATTCAAATCTGTTGGTTTTTCGGCTAAATACAAGCTATAAACTACAGTATAGTAGAAAAACTAACATTTCTTAATAGAAATCCAAATTTCCTGACAGCATGCCAAGATATTTGTTCAAATTCTTGTGTGATCAGAATATATGATGGGGATGACTTCCATCTACTATAACACAAAATTTGAGCACATTAGCTGTAAAAATGGCTGGGTTACAGACATTTTTGTGTTTGCTAAGATTAATTAATAAGCTGTGGTGGCCATGATGAATTCATTCAACCTTTATTTAGACAGGTTAATCGGTGATCAATCGGGTGAATTGATTTGACTCCAAAAGTTAATCAGTTGTAGAGCTACATCCAGTGATTGTTATTTGAGATTGTCATTAATTTTGACCCGTGGTTCATGAAATACTTTGCTAACAAACAGACAAAAGAACCCCCATTGCCCGTTTTTCATGACGGCAGTAGTAGGTCATGTATTAAACAGCTTAACTAACACTGAGACAAATAAAAGCTTTGATATTTCCAAAATTAGGGCAATTTGAATCACTTGTCTCCTGCACAGTCTGTTTTTCAGCATTAATTATAGGCAGACTTCAGGTGTGGGTCTCTGCCAACACATGCGAGTAAAGTGGATGAATCTCTGACATCTGCTTCATCTCATGGTCCTCAGATTAAAGGGGAAATCTCGCCGCCACCCTTTGTGTTTCATCAGAGCTCTTCCAGAGTTTAGCAGCTGTATCTGCAGAATTTCACTGCAGCCCCGTTGTCCTGTCATCCATGTCATTTAATCATCTCTGTGAGTGTGCGTGCTCAAAACTGCGTGAGTGTGTTTGAGTCAGACAGCACGTTGATTTTGCTAAAGTGCAGAGGAACAATTCAGGTGCTAAAGCACACTGTCAACACTCTGGGAACTAGCAGAGGGACTGGAGGTGGTAGAGGAGGAGGAGGAAGCTACCTCGTCAAGACTTTATTCACCTGCCATACATCTCCTTCTTTTTCTCTGTCATTTTCTCACTCTCTCCCTCAATCCGGATAATGCTCACATTTAAAAAGCTTATTTACAGCATCCATTGATTCTGCTTTCAAGAGTTGGCAAGTCTCTGCCCATTTTCTAGACCTTGTGGCTGGCAGGACTCCTGCAGTGAAACATTCAATTTGTGCACGCTTCTGTTATACAGCAGTCAGTCCGGCCGCGGCTCCTGTTGAGTCTGCTTCAGTCACTAAACCATTCAATATAAACAAAACCTGCAGGACCAAGATGCTTTTAATTCAACCTGATATTAGGCTGACCTATGGATGAATAGTTCATATGGTTCAGTAGAGCTGTACAACTTGTGGCTTAGGACAAAAACAATTTCTTACTGTATATAACTTATCTTTTTTATTCATTATTTTGATACTTTCACTCTAAACCTCAGGTAAAACTTTATTTTTAGGTTGTTTTATAGGTATGCATTCTTCTTATTTATTTATTTTTTTCTGCAAATATATTGATTCTTTCTACAAAACAATTCAACTACCATATTTTTTTGGACTATAAGGCACTTTAAGCAAAACAAAGCAGTCAGATAAGTCAAACTTTATTCAACTCATTCCCAATAACCACATAAAATCAGCATCATCCATATTTGTTCTCTCAACATCACATTTGACGTTACAGTCTATGATTATTTCTTTATCACTCTGTGTTTTACAGAAACTGCATGTGTTCAAGAAAACCCTCCAGGCCTTGATCTACCCAATTTCCTCCACGACGCCCCATAATTTTGAGGTGTGGACGGCAACTGCTCCCACCTACTGTCATGAGTGTGAAGGCCTGCTGTGGGGCATTGCCCGGCAGGGCATGCGCTGCTCAGAATGTGGTGTTAAATGCCACGAGAAGTGCCAGGACCTGCTCAACGCCGACTGTTTACAAAGTAAGAAAGCTAATTTGCTTATGCACCAACACGCTGACGCTCGAGGGAATGGAACTTCTTGCAATGCTTTGAAGTGAAGTAAAACACATGGATGCATTCTCATAAGAAGGCTTCTTTCTGGATACTGTTTGAGCTTGTGTTCACAATCTTACCTACTTTTTTATATATTCTATGTTTTCAGTTTCACATCAAGATAATATTGAAACAACTCATCACAAATCCAAAAAAACGGCACTATAAATTAATCTTTAGGCCAAAGCATTGTTGCATTATTTACTATTTAACACATATATTTGTGTTGTTCTTGTTCATTTACAATAAACTTAACTTCTTCTTCAAATCAGTGATAAATCCTGTGGATAAATTCAATCAATGCTAGTGTAATATTTCATCTGTAACGCTTTAACTTTAGTTTTTACCCTCACATTGTTAACAAGCACCTTTGGTGCTATTATACCTTTGAATTACTATATCAGACTTTGTGTAGTGCATACAATTTATACCCTTTTACCGATTGTACAAGCTGCATTTATGTTGCTCCTTGATCCACTAGCGCCCATTACAACTTCCAGTCAGTTTTGTCAGTCAGGCACACATTTATTAATACTGGGTACAGCACCAAATGTGAAGAACAACGTGACGTTTTAGAACAGCCCTCAGCGAAGTTTATACACTTTAAGTGGATTATTCACGCTCTGGCTGGTATAAGAAAAAGCTGCATTTTTTAACATTCATTCTAACACAAGAATATTTTGTTGTTCAAACTGATTCATCTTTATCACATTTCAATCTGCACATACTTGCAAATCTGTGATACCCTGTCAGATATTGAGATGAAATCATTAGATGTGTCTCATTTGTCTTACAGATTTAATTCATTCTTAAAGAATATAATTATATAGATACACGTTGGCTGTAGTAAGGTAGTTACAGTTTTCTGAAGGTGTTTTGACATGCTGTGGAGCAAACAAAGGGGATTAGATATGCTATAAGGCATAAACACGTGGCCTTTTTCAGGAGCTGTGGAGAAAAGCTCTAAGCACGGGGCGGAAGACAAAACTCAGAACATCATCATGGCTATGAAAGAGCGCATGAAGATACGGGAAAAGAACCGTCCTGAAGTGTTCGAGGTGATTCAGGAGATGTTCCACATCTCCAAAGAAGACTTTGCCGCCCATCTGAAAACAGCCAAGCAGGCAGTGCTGGATGGGACGTCCAAGTGGTCGGCCAAAATCAGCATTACAGGTTAGCTGGCTTCCTTAATAATAGAATCTGCCTATTATGAAAATGAGTTTTTGTTCATTCTCGTTGTTGCATGAATAATCGGTCAACATAATGTTGACATTTCTTTATACTCAATAATTCTCTGATTCTGTTGCATTTGACCTTTGACCTTTGACTTGCTTCCACCCTCAATTTGAAGGCAAATAAAGAAAGCTGCCGCCAGTAATCTAAAATGTCAAAAGTGTCCATTCTGATCACCATTTACCTTTAATTAATCTAAACCATCGCCATTAATTATCACCATTAACCTCTAACACAACATGCGATACACATTTAATCAAAGGAAAAAAATAGAAAATGATCTGGTTGTGTGGGGAGGGAAAAAAAAGCTGATATGACCATGAAGGTTATTGGTACAAAGATGAATGATGATTTAGTTCATCATGTAGACCGCAAGATAAAGACAGAAAGTTTAACAGTACCCAATTTGTACTGAGGCAAACAGCATATCTGGAGAGTTTTACACATATTCAGAGGAAAGTGATATCCAAGAGGGAGAGTTTGTGAAATTAAGATGGCATGTTAAATACAGATCACTGGAGAAATTGCTAAAAAAAAAAAAAAAAGGCTGTAAAGAGTTTCTTTCATCTCTGAAGAGAAATTCCTGCAGCTGACAAAGATCTCATTTCTTTCTCTTTAGGTTTCAGCTCACTGGCTAAATATTCCATTGTGTAACTACTCTTAATGAAATGTGGAACTGTTTTGTGCATAATTACACTTTTTGGCTCGCAGTTTGCTTGTAAAGCTAGATCAGAATCAGAATTAGGATAAGCTTTATTATCATTGCACTGAAGTACATATAGATTAAATTCTGTACAGTCATCCAAAAGACAGGCAGAGTGCACGTGGCTGCAGCTCCTAGGAGCCCCTTATTCTTTAGATAGAAAAGGGGAAAGACCATGACGACAGGAGAGTGGTATTACAGAAAAGATCTCTTCACACCATGTCCTTGTCAGGACACAATTTAAGACATCAAAAAAACTCTACCAGCAAGCACATTTATAGACATACTACATATGCATTTGATGACAAGACGGTGAGATTTGTCCATGAAGCCGTTCCAGATAGCACCATAGTCCTGATAAGATGCTGGTGTCAGCTGGCACAGCTCCGATAAGCAGTCACAGAAATTCTCGGGGGGGGGGGGGGGGGGATATATCAGAGCCTTCTTAGTTTACATACATCTAAGGAGACATTTGATAAGTTGGCCTGCTTCAAGCCAAACGAGGAAGTCAGATTCAGATAAGCCACTGTTGTTTTTTGTGCAGGCAGACTGTTATTTCTCGTCGGCCTTGGGTTTTACTGGTACTTTAGATATCCAAAATGGCCAGATTTGTGGGCATTCCGCTGGTCCTTGTTTATTAGCTTCCTCCAAGTTCAACCCCAACATGCTGGTGAGTTCCAAAGCCGTAAGTGGCCTACGATTCTCATAAATCGTTTCCATCTTACGGTTGAGCTCATAAATCCGCTGAGTCTGAGGGCTCGAAGCACAAACTGATCCTTCACATAAGGTCGGCAGCTTTGCCATGACTGAAGCTGCTGTCATCGTCTTCCTTAATAGCCGATAACATAGGTATCCAACGGTGCCAAAAAGCAGAAACTCTGATATCATAAATCCAGTGATCTTCAGCATCCTCCTGAGACAACAAGAAAGACACAACACACCCATGACGTACCATGCCGTGTGCTTCACAGCGGGGCATGAGGTTTCTCCAGGACCCTGTCGCTTGGTTGAATTTTTTATTTTTTTATCAACAGTGTTTAAAGTCCAGCTGACCAAATCCTTGACAGTAATTCATGATCCAGAAGATGTGTATATAGAAGCTCCAATACACAGGACAGAGTGCAAAACAGCAGGAGGAAGGTGGGAGAAAAAGCCCCCGTCTTAATCGAGAGCGTGTGAAGAAAGAAAATATATCATGCTTATTTAACAATTTCAGGGGAAACCCCTTCTTTCATACTCATATTCCACATTTGAGCTATTTTTCATGCCATCTTGCAAATCCTCTGTGTCATTTGGTTCTGTTACTGTTTTAGTTTTTTGATCAAACACAGTGAAGGTTTCTAGTTTTCATCCTGTCGTTTACTGTTTCTGTAAACTGCCAACTCAAAAACATTGTCATATGATACAAATCCTTTCTTCCCATTCCCTGCTGACAGTAGTCCTCCTTTGTGGACAATATTTGTGTTCATGTCATAAATAGACTTATGGATGCTTGCTATCATATAAACAGAGTTTTCAGATGAGTTTGTTGGTGCAGCTCACAAATTGGCTCTTGAAACAAGATCAGGAACCTTTGCTGCAACCTCCCCCTGGACTCACGTCCTTCTCTGTGCTAACAGAGCAAAGTCCAGCTCATTTAATGTCCACCTTGCATTTTTCCACTATGCCAATACATGGCAGAGAAATAGCAACTGTGAGGGAGAGAGACAAATGAGTGTGGGGGTGAAAAATGACTGTAATGCAGAGGAGCGAAGTGCAGGGGAGGGAAAAACAGGAAATACATAGTATTTTGGAGACAAGAGGCTTAAAATTTACTAGCTTAGAATGTATTAACTCTTTCTTTAATCAAGTAAAACAGACACATTTGTCATTAGTACTCAAGCTACTCTCAAGTTTGGTTTATTTGCTAAGCAATATACATCTTAATATAATTTTTTAAACATTCAAATTCATTGTTTATTTCACCAACAAATAAACAGTATAGTCAATTGTCAAATGTTTACCAGCTGATGTTTTTTTCAGTTATTTTTGCCATTTTTTATTATGAAGAATTTTTCCTGTTTTCATCTCTTACTAATGAAAATTGTCCCCCATAACCTGCTACACAGGGAGCAAAAAGTACAATTAATAACTTCGGAGCGTTTGCAAATTTAAGAGCTTAACAATTTTGATAGACATTAGTTAAACAAACCTAATACCAAGCAGACATTTTAACTATTTCTTTGAAAGTTTTCTTTTTAAGTTTTATTAAACATTTGATTATGGATTTCAATCTGGCAAGCTTCTCACTGAGAAGCGACTCGTTGTATTTGCATGTTTCATTGCATATGAGAAACGTTAAAATTATACATAAAACAAACAAAACAAAGCAAATTTCAGTGATCCAATAAACATTTAGTTTAAAGCAAACCAACACATTTAAAGATAGGTCACTGTGTTTTTACCTTCTACTTTTAGGAGGCTTTTGATTTTGCCTATACTCTTGGAACAAGCAGGCCACAGACACCCCATACCACTATATCGTGCCCCCAACTTTTGTCAGCAGTGAGCTGAATGATATATATGTACCTTGAATTATTTAGGCCATCACTTATGCATATTTAATGCAGCAGTGTCCTTTTTCCCTTTTATGGCACAGTGAAATACCACTGTCTCCTCTGCACATCTGAATCACTTCTCTTTGTTTGGAGCCAGGTCCTGGCTCAGCAGGAACTCACTGTGGCTGTGGGGTCATTGCACAGGACTGGGATGTGTACCTACAGCTTCGACTTAGACTGGGTTAAATATCAGACCTAACTGATTTAATTGTATATAAGATAAATAAAGTAGATGTTAATGGATCAAAGACCAGCATGGCTTTATTCCTTTTTTTTTCTAAACGTTTTTCTGACAGTAGCCATCTGCAAAATTCAGTAGCAGCTATGTATCAAACATCCGTGAGGTTGAAATGATGCTTTATCATAAATATCTTAACAAATATTCCATCTTCTGCAAACATAAGTACAGTAAACTGACATTTTACTTTACTATGTACTTCAATTAAAAATAATGAAACAAAAGTTGTTTTATGATTTAAAAAAAAGACTTTTCAATCACCCGCAACCAAATAAAGAAGAAGTGGGTAAAGATAATGGATGGATTAACATTTCCATCACCCTCAGCTTGTCAGTTCTTGCAAATTCTGTTTCATCAAAACAGTTGAGCTATGCACAGTAAATACTTATAAACAGCTCTTTGTAGTTTGATGAAAATTAGATGAACTGTACTCATTTATATTGAACAACATATTTATTGGGCCACTGTCACATTGTGTTTGTATTTTTCCATATAAGCTGGCATATTCAGATTTTTTTTAAAGTTGGACAAAAATTGAAGTAACTGTCTAAAAAAAAAAAAAAGCCGTGTGGCTTATAGATCACATACATGTAACATCCATGATGCATCTTGGTCATGTAGATTGTATATGTTCTGGATTAAAGGTTAAGAATAATAAAGCTTACTGCAGCGTAAGCATGGCGTATGTTACGTTGTCATATATTTCAAACTCTTCAGTTTCTTCAACAAATGACAAGCAGAAAGTGTTGGATGTATACAAATACTCATTGTTACAAATACTCATACCACACAGTATGCAACTGGTCCATCCATCCATCCATCCATCCATCCGTCCGTCCGTCCGTCCGTCCGTCCGTCCGTCCGTCCGTCCGTCC